AAAATATAGATCAACTAATTTAACTCGTTAAACCAGGTTAACCCATCAAACCTAGAATACATATCATGAGAGTGTGATAATTAAATAAAAAAATTAATATTAACAAACTAAATTAATAAGAAAAATATTAATTAAAAATAAAAAAACTATATATAATAATATTTTTTTCAAATTTATTAATTATTATATTAGAAATATTCATTATAATAAAAATAATAATATTTTTAATACAAATAATAATATTAAACTTACATTACTCAAGTTTAAGTTGACTTGGCTGCAATACCAGAGCCAAAAGCCTTAGATTTGGCCACAACACTAGAGCCAAGAGTCTTGGATGTGGGCCTAGATATAAAGTAGTGTCATGAAAGTATGATAATTAAATTAAATAAAATTAATATTAAATAATAAAATTAAACAAAAAGATTATTTGAAAAGGAAAAAAAAACAAAACAAAGCTATAATCCAACGAATATATTAAATGAAAAAAAAAAAACAAATGATGAAGTTTAATTACCAATCAAATGTTATTAAAAGATCAAATCAAAAGAAAAAACTAATTAAGAAAAAGAAAAAAATATGAATCAACTAGATTAACCTGCTAAACTAGGTTAATTCATCAAACATGAAATTCATGTCATGAGAGTGTAATAACTAAATGGAAAAAAATATATATTAATAAACTAAATTAAAAAAAATTAAAACAACAAAACAAAAAACCTATAACTAAAAGGCATATGTATTTTACTATGGATTTGCACAGTGCAATCCATAGTAAAAAGTTGATCTCTTTTAGTTATAGTTACAATATTAAAAGATAAAATTCAAAGGAAAAAACTAATCAAGAAAAAAAATTGAATCAATTAAGTTAACCCATCAAACCTGAGATTCATGTTATGAGAGTGCGATAACTAAATAGAAAAAAATTTAATATTAATGAACTAAATTAAAAAATTTAATTAAAAAGAAAAAAACTAATGAAAAAAATGAAAAAAATCTGAATTAATTGAGTTAACCTATCAAACTAAGATAACTCGCCAAACCTGAGATTCTTGTAAAGAAAGTATGATAACTAAATAAAAAAATATTTAATAGTAACAAACTAAATTAAATAAAAAAATTAATTAAAAAACATCAGTCTTTTCACTATAGATTGTATAGTACAGTTCATAGTGAAAGATATAAAAAACTAAAAACATCAACTTTTTTACCATGTACTATACTATGTAATCACTGTAGAAGGTTAATGCCTTTTAGTTATAATTAATAATTATCAACGACAATACAAAGATTTAGGTTGAAACGATTCCCAATCAAATAAAAAAAAATATCTAGCAATTCTTATATTACAGGTAAGATAGAAAGATTTTAGGTAGGGTTTCACTTTTCAAGATTAATAGTGCATAACATTTTAAATGACTTATTTTTACATTGCATCCGAATAGTAATCACTATTAAATTTTTTAAATTTATCTATGGAATATTTTGTTGATAAAAATATTATATATAATTTTATTAATGATTTTTTAATATTACCTACATAATTAAATTGTCAATGAATAAACAATAGCACAATTATATTTGTAGTAATTATTTTTGAACTCTTTAGAATATACAGACAAACTTAATTGTCGCCGCAACTTTGCCCTCTTGCCATGAGAGTACAACAACAACAAAGAGGTGAATGCAATATTATTTATTAAACATTTCAAACCTTTTTTCTATACTTGTAAATAAAATATATATAAAAAAAAAGTACACAAATAACCTACTTTTAGGTCAACAATTTATACCTAGAACAATTATTCTCTTATGGCTTTCCTTTGGAAACTTTTGCCTCTCACAAACTTGTAAAGTAACAAAAAACTTTTTTTTAGGTTTTCAGATCTTTACATTTATGTTTTTTATTGATATTTCTATTGTTTTTCTTCTTGTTTTTCATTTTTCTTTCCCTTTTTTTCAACCTTTTTTCTTGATGTCAAGGGGGTATCTATAAGGTTTTAGAAGATATTGAATCCATTCTGACCTCTTAATCTTAAAGAAAGTATTTTAAACCATTGATAAGAATCCATTAAGGAGCCTTTATGTGTAAACACACGAAAATCAAATTATTTTTTACATGATAGTTGCACTATTAAAACTGGTTGAGTTGCCCACTTTCGAGGCCTCGTTGGAGTAATTATGATGTTATCGTTATCTAAAACCACCTGAAATTAGTAGAAGAGGTGCACGCATTTCGTTTGGATCCAAGCTTGATCAATTTGAAGCTTTGTAACTCCATATTCATGCATTTAAAGTTGCCAACACAATCACTCGTAACTATCAAAATAAAGATACAAGCTAATAAATGACGTGTCATTCACCTTATTTTCATTAAGTTTGAATTACACATATTTAATATTCTTAATTCAGGATTTGGAAAATTTTAACTGATTTTTCTTATTTGATATGGAGAATCCTAAAAAAAGATATTACACATATTATCTATATTATTTAGATATTACACATATTTAATATTTTTAAAAAGGAGTTAAAATTAAAAAAAAAAGAGATAATTTTGCTTATTTGATATGGATAATCCTAAAAAAATTGAATCAAAACAAGAATGCTACTAATTAAATGTTGGCATGGCTAAATTTATAGTGACGAGAGTATTGTTTGTTATAAAATAAAAGGGTTGTTGTTATTTGCAGAAAAAACAGAGGAAAAAGAAGAAATGAGAGAGGGGGAGAGAGGAGTTATCTGTCAAATCATATATTAAATATTATCGATAAATTTATGTATATATTTCATTAATTGGTTAATTTCATTAGTGATTCTTTTTGCATAAATGATATGTCATTGCATCTTTTAACCTTTTTTAATTATTTATTTTTTTACTGTAATTTGAATTATATATAATGAAAAAATATTTTTGTTGATATTTCATATAAATACTGTAATGAGTTATTTTGTTTATAAAATTCACCATAATCTAAAATCTCGTTATATTTTTGTTTGTATGTTCTAATTTTCTAAGATAGCGTCCTCAAAGTGTCGTAAATCTTAAGTCATGCCCAGTAATGATGAATATTATTTGAAGACGAAAAAAACTAGCGATTAGGTGGTTTCAGAAAGCAAATTCAAGCAGGTTGGTTTTTTCACCTATTTTCCTAATGAACAGGCAGCTTCACTTCAGCAAAGGATTAGAGAAAAGTTACAGTTACATGGGCCACGAAATAGATAGATGGTGAAGTGTTGCCTGGTACTATTTTTACAGGAAACAGAACAACGGTATCACACAACATTAACAGGAGCTTACCAGAAACTTAATGCCATTTATCTTCCATTTACATAGAAGATGCAAGCTCAAACACAAAACTCGGCAACACGTATAACCTTACTTGTAACACCTCATGATGATCACACATGACAAGAACCTTCTCGACGAAATCTAAGAATTTTTGGCACGGTATCTAGATGCAAAATGATTGACCAATGCACGCGCATTGCTAGTGACCTAAGCAACATTGGTGATCCGGAGCTTAACGGCAGCCTTCACATTTCCATCCATTAGATGGCTAGAAAACCCATCAAGGCAAGTGTTCTCATCAGTAAGTGCTGCACTAACCCAAGTCTGCACATTACTCAAAATGCCACACAAAGTCTTGACCAACAGCTCCACCCATATGACCAATCTCCCTGACTGACTGGCTTGGTCGATCCGCACTATCACCCATGTTTTCTATGCAGTCCTTCCCCGATTGGTATTCTCTAGGCTTAAGCCCCCTTAACTTTAGTCATCTTGGTCAAAAATGCTTCAGCTAGCTGACATAGCTCTGGCTGGACTCACAGATAAGGCGGTTATTTCGTTGAATGACACTAGCATAACTTGGCGAGCACTAAACACATAACTCAGGATAGGGAGTGGCCTTGCATGAGGCATTGATGAAGTCTGTGGGGCTGGAGGCAGACCCTGCCGTGCTAAACACGAAGAGGGTAAAGGAGAGCGGTAGTAGAGAAAGGACTCGTCTTGCCATGTCTTTGAAGAAGATAGATGAAATGATTTCAATGAACTGAATGAAAGCATGGGATTGTTATAAAGAGTTCTAAAGGTGGTATATATCTGCCATAGGATTAACTAAAAGGGTGTCACGTGCATATGCTCGCTCGTTCTCTTGTTTTTTTTTTTTTTTTGGGTACCTTTTGTTATTTTCATTCTTTAATACTGCCCTCCTTTTCTACTATTCAGTTGCATAGAATTGAAAGCTTCAATTGCTTTTCTTTCCCTTCGAATACTCCAGCCCATCATGCTAATGAAGATATTAATCTCTAGAGCGCGTGTCTATGTCGCCTTGCCTCCCAAAATGAACAAAGTATGGTAACTACATCTATTTGATCAATGAGGCTCTAGCTCGACTGGTGGCAACAACCCCCCTTTGAGGAGGGGTTGCGGGTTTAACTCTCCAAACTCTCCAAAGGGAAATAAACCTCAATTCCAAAGCACCGAAAGAAAACTAACAAATCAACCTTCATTCTCCAGATGACATGGGAACTTGGATTAAGGGCTCTGCAATGAATCCTGGAATGTGCTCCTCGGTTAAAGCAAAGTTATGGACAGTGATAACTGGATTGGAGCTCGCTTGGTTACAGTAGCAAGGCTTCATCCTTTTCCACAATCAGAATTATTTTCACTAGACAACCTCTACTGCAACTATTCAGCCCATTATAGAGACACGAAAGGTCCAAAACATAATGTATTGCATAGAACTTACTTTATTATAAGTGCTTATAATAATATACATTTTCATAAGACTATACTACTCGAACAACATTTGGCTTCAATACAATGAAGGAAACTTTTATGATGTTTAGAAGGAAGGTGATTGAGATACAGTTCACATTTTATGGTGTTTTGGACAAGATTTGAAATGTAGCCCTTGCAAAGCCCACCAATCTCATGTTATAGAAGCTTTTAGCTGTGTAAGAATTCCAATTTCAGTACCGTTTCAGTCTGGTGTAGGAACTACAAGTCAATTTATGTAAAAAGTTTTAATCGAAGCATAACTTTATACATTCAATCAAATGCTTTCATTTAAATACAAGATTGGTCTCGCTAATACTCATAAGCCAAATACATTTTCAAGCCAAATTCATTATAAAAAATACATCATAGTTGAAAGGTACCATTATTCATCACCTCCGTGCTAAACCGTCATGTACTTGAGAACGGCTGCACGCAGCTTTTCCATGAAAGCTGCTGCTTCTTTCTGCACAATACAAATCATTTAAGAGTTCAATCTAACTAGCAAATCATTAATCATTAAGTTTAGGACTTTTGTTCCTTTTTCTTCTTAAAAGGAAAAGTTGACTGGAAATGTTCATCAATGTTGAATGAGTGGATATACTGATAAAAATGATTGAAATTTTATCCGGAAAACATGCAAGCAGTGTTACAAAATGGAGAGTGAGACACCCACTCCATTAGAATGTCAGGTTTATAAAGAAACCCCTAGAGGGCACCTAAAGTGGAAACGCATTTATAAATTCATAATTTGTCTCGTATGTTTGGTCATAGTAGCTCTTAGAAGAAATCTGCTCCAATATATCCCCGTCCTATATACTGATTGTGCCACATTCATATCAATATGATTTTTTTTGTGTTCCTCGACCCCAAAGGCAACTCTGAAAAGAGAGAGATTGCAAAACAGGTTGAGAAGAAAATTTAGTCTCCAGCTCTTACCTGTTTACCTTGGTTCGCGCTTGCTATGTTTTCATCAAGAAGCGTTAACAATGATCTGTTAAGTTCATTCTGCTCAACCATTTCCAGCAACTGGCATGGAAACCAAAGATGCAAAATCAACCTAATTAACATAATTAACAAGGCAAAAGAATAGTAAAGTGTTTGATTTAAAAGATTGATGAGTGAAAAGGGTAGTGCTTACAGTGGCTTTTGCATCCTTTGATGTCAATATTTTTGTCAGGCTTTTCTTTGCTTTTACAAGTTCACCTTGCATTTTATCGTAGGCTTCTATAACAGGACGAGGGACACAGTTCCATCAGTTTCCAGTAAGCTGGAAAAGGTTAATTCTTCTAAGCAAGTCTGCAGAGACTACAAACCTGTTCCTTCCTTCAGAGCTTTCTGTAGTGCTTCCAACTCAATCAATCTGTCTTCCATCTCCTACAACAATCACCAACATTTCCATAAATAGGTTTGATATGGTTATGGAAAAGGGGTTCAACTTTCACGTATAACTCTTGAGTGAACCTCAGTTTTTGAAACAGCAAAACGAAGCTGCCCCAGTTCAAATTGTAGCTGCGAGAAAAATTCCTCGTTCAATCTGCAAATTCCACAGCCATTGATTAAAGGCAAGATTTGAGGTCAGTGAATAAAAATAAAACCCCATTCTTATGCTATAATGAGTATGACCCTAAAGTGGAACTTCTCATGATGCATATTACTTAACATTCTTCCTTTACTCTGTGCAAGAGAGTGAATTGGGACAACTAAAAGGCAGCTACGAGCTATCATAGCAATGAAGCAATTGATGGAAAAGAAGGACAATTCAAGAAAAAGCTATTTCCTCCTTCAGAACTAGAGTTTGAAACTAACTTTGTTTACACTGGGAACGTAATACTTGAGAAAGTCCATATCAAAACAGGGCGGGACCATATCAGTGGTTTTTTTTATAAAAAAGAATAAGTTTCAAGAAAAATAGCTTAGCCACCGGAGAACTAGTTCATTGGAAGAGGCGAAATCTCAAACATATTGCCTATAGTGACAACTCACAACATTATCCGTACAATAAACAAATAGTGCATCAGAGCTTAAAACTTAAAAGGACTAACCTTGGCCTCAGTCTAGCAATCTCAAACTCAATCTCCTGAGCTTCAGTATCAAGAAAGTACTCTATCAGCTTTTCTGGAGTGTCCGGTATCACCCTAGACTAATCCAACGTTCACGCACACCACAAAAATCACAAAAGACAAAATAATAATAACGAATATTTACAATAAAAATGATTAATTAATTGAATTATTACTTGGCGAAGAGAGTGGCGACGCTGTTTTTCTTCACGGGCTTGCTGCTCAAGTGCCTCGCGAAACTCTGCGTCTTTCTCGAGCCTTCTATTGATCTCCCGTCGAGCCAAATGGCCTGTTTGTGGTGGTCCATATAGCCCCTCTGGGTCCTTCCTTCGCATAAAATCAAACAAAAACAGAAAATATAAAGGGATTATTGAACGCGGAATGGTTTATAAACAAATTGGAGATGAGATTGAGGCATTGAATTGAAAATGGAAATGAGAAGTTAAGATACCCATTGAACGCAGGAGATTCTGCAGGGTTTGTGATTGGTTCTTGTGATTGGTCTTGTACGGACAGTCATGCTGAAGCCGCCGAGTGTAAGAGAGGCCATTTGATGATGGCCGTTTAAAAAAGCTCCGTGACTGGGAGTGAAGAAGCTCTTGTGTTTTCAACGGTTTTGTGTTATCGTTTGATGTTATCTATCTGATTTGCTTTTTGTCGTGTCGTTTTATCTGTTGACGATGGCGGGACTTACAGCCGCTAGATGTGATGTTGCATCATCAATGCCAATCGTTTGATGAGGTGGAAAACCATGGATGCCCCCTCCCCTCCCCCACGCTGGAATGGGCCTGTTTTGTTAAATTAATAGGAGGAGTTTCAAGTCCAGCCCAACTTAAAGGCCCTACAATCTGGCTAGCTGGACCCCTTTCAAATACACTGTTTCACATTCACCGGAACAATGTAATGGTAGATTCGCACCTCTTTTTTTTTTGGTAAGTAGTAGATTTGCACCTCACACCTAAAAGAAACTTAATTCTAGTCACAGGGAGTATTAATATGTATTCACGTGATATATTAGTTATTATTAAATTAATTGAAGATATATTTTTTTTATTTTAATTATATAGTAAAACAAGCAAAATACCGTTGGAATCAAAAAAATTTAAACTGGAGCCAAGAGGCAATTTTGTATTTTCATATTAATTTTTATGTAATTATCATATGAGATGAGGAGAAATTTAATATTTATTAAAAAGAGTAAAAAATATATTTACATGAAAATATTTTATTGCGTGTCACGTACTACTTTCTGAATTTTTTTTATTTAATAATATAGTGTTAAAAATGGAGTGCCATTATAAAAAGAAGGGTCAAACATGCTTGGGCTAAAAGAATGGGTTTGTGAGCCTGGCCCACAAATACAATCTTGGAGCGCCTTGGTCCATAAGGATAAACTCGCATACATGGATTTTATTTATTTTTTTACATGGATTTTTTTTTTATTTATATGGGGTGTCTAGGCCAGCTTACGAGCATCATGACTAATCCACACGGCCCACTGAACATCCTACAAGCCTAATGAGCAGGTAAGACATCGCGGAGGTGACAGGCGTGCACAATAAGGCTCGAACCCAAGTGTGGAGGAAGGGGACAAGCCCCTCCCACCATTAGACTGAAATCTTATTCATTTTATATTTTTATTGTTTGAATGGAAAATGTGACATCCTCGGGCAACTTATTTTAATTTACTCCTGTTTCAAATCTTTGGACAACAAAAAACTATGTTTCAACCATTTTCACTCAAGATATATTAAAAGAAAAAAACATCCTATCTTTAAAAACTCATTCATAAAAATAATATATATTTTAATTGGTTTAAAAAATCAAAATCATATTATTAAGTTTACTAGAAAAAAAACCATGATGAAAGATGATAATAAATAGTTGATAAACAAGAATATAAATCTAAATACAAGATGTAGATTTATTAAAAATAATAATAATAATAATAATAATAATGTAAGAATTAAGGGCAAGATAAATATAAGTCTTTGTAACAAGTTTTTTTTTTAATTAAAGGCAAAATAATTAAGAGTGTTAATTCATTTCCACGCATATTTCAAATAGTATAATTGAATTTAATTTTATGGTTTAGTATTTTATTTTAAATATAAAAATTATAATATAAAATCAAATTTAATTTGATTTTATATGTGATTTGATTTCAATTGTACTATAACATAATCAAAACCAATTGTCTCATATCTATTTCTTGGATAAAAGAAGAAACGGACGCTTTTTGTATTTTTCTTTCTCCTCCTTTTTTGCTTCAAGAACACTTATATATGAGGAAATAACTATACATGTTGGCCACTTCTTGCGGAAAGAAAAACAATATCATTCGTTCATTAAAACATCATAAATATGACCGTTCATGTTGAAGTTATAAACTTGAATTGTTTCAAAGTTGTTTGTGATTGTATCTTATTAACAAAAACTAATTGCGAGGGGAACTCGCCATTATACTTCTCGTGACACAGTTTACTTAAATAATGCTTTTAAAAACAAATATTATTTAATATTGATTTTTTTTAATTTTGATTTCATAACTTTGATTTTGAGTTTTTATATTAACTTGATTTAAAATTAAATTTTTTAATTTTTTTAATTTTTTTTTATAAAGTTACTTCAGTCTTATTATCTAATATTTAAGTTAAGAATTTAACTAGTTAACTCGAGTTAATTTTTATTATTTTTTTTTAAATTAATTGTTTTAAGTATTTTCATTCTTGAGCATTAAGTTGATTGGAAATTAATTTATAATTTGTTTCAATTGTGTTTTTATAAGGTTATTTTAGTTACACAATCCAAGTTACGAGTTTGATAAGTTACTCGAGATTTGGTAAAGTTGTTTTTTAAAGTTTTTTAATTGATTTTTTTTATTTCAATTTTCAATGTTAGGTTGAATGAAAACTGAATTTTTTTAAAAAAATTTATTTACTTTTTATGAGTTTATCCCGATCTTATGACTCAGGTTACAGATTTTACAATTTAATCTAGATTTACTCAGGTTGATCTGATATATTTTCATTTTAATATTAAAAAAATATTTTAAAATTTATTTTTAATCAAAATATATTTTTAACTATTATTTAAATTGTCTTTAAACATATAAAGTTAATCAGATTACATTAGATTAACTCTCACTTAATTTTAATTTATTTTTTTCAACTAAAAAATATATTAATAATATCTAAATATTTTTTATACTAAAAAATGATAATCTTACACAAATAATCTAATAGGAAAGTATAAGCTATTTAGAAGTGGGGGTTAACAGTAAAGATGCAATGTCAAATGAGGAAGTTTCAGACATATTCTTCTGTGCTCCCAGGAAAGGATGAGACCCAAAAAAAAACAAAAGGAAGAAGAAGAAACTCCAGTCTCTTGGCATGTATTCCATAACACGTTAATTCTTTAAAATATTATTATTGTTATTTTAATTTTATATATTCGGAGCAATTTAAGCACATCTAAATTAATACCATGAGATACTAACATTAACAACAAAATAAATTTTTAATAATCTTAAAATTTAAATTGATAATTTCTAAAAAATAAATATAAGATTTAATGGATTAAAATATATTACTTTATATTTATTATTAGTGGTAGTAATAATCTCAATGATTGCATTTCGTTTTGGTTGAATTATATTTTTATATAAAAATAATTTTATTTAAAAAATTAAAAATATTTAATAAAACTTGAGGGGAGCATTTATAATTTACAGTTTTCACGACCAAGGTCCACCGAACCAAGAAGTGGAAAAGTCTCCATGTGATGTGAATGGCCGGTGGCTGTTGTTTTGACTTATGGCTCTTTTCCTTGATGACGTGGGGAAATCCACCCACCCTCCACCACACGTGGCTTTTCTTGCTTTATGAAAGGGAACAGGTTTTCTTTGAGGTTTCTTAATGACCAAACATCTGAACTGCTACGACGCTTTTCGTAATCGCTGTTGCGTCAAAAATCGTACCCAACCTCATGACAAGATTACTAGCTCCGATACCCTTTTTCTTTCCTCTGATGATTAGTCAATTAATTACTTTCTTGACCTGGTGTCCGCAAACCCCCCCGGACCAAAATATAATTTCTTATATGCCCCTAGCTTTAAAAAAATAAACTGTTGGTCAAGGATGTTTATTCTTTTACATTTTTTACAAGATTATTAAAGGATTTTTCTATCCTTACATTCCGGGGAAAAAAAAGGATCTAGAGGTAATTTCAACTTTTTACTTTTTTTTTTTAAATTCTAGAATCAGGAGTGGTGTTTTGAACTCTTTGCTCTCGTTAATTGATTTTTAAATCGAAGAACAGTTGGCACATGGGATGTGTCTACAATTTTATATCAGCATGTGCCGTGTATCCTTGTGGTTAAATATACTGTTTTTTTATGTTATTGTATATTTAAAAATATAATTGTGGTTATTTTTTAAAAAAATTTATTTAAAATAATATTTCTTTTTTATTTTAAAATAATTATTTATGATATCAGCACATCAAAATAATCTAAAAAATCTAAAAAAATTAAATTTAAATGAAAATAAATAATATTTTTTAAAATCACTTTTAAAACATAAAAAACAAATAAGATATCGCCTCACTTTTTTTTTTGTGTGTGTAACATATAATGGTAGTCAATGGATGAATTTTTGCCTGTGGCCATTTCTTTTTTAACTTCCTATTTTTCTTTTTTTTTCTCATTGTTTCTCACTTTTAATCCTTGGTTTTTTATTATTTATTTTAGCCCCTGCTTCTTTTGAAAGAGTTTTTTATGTTTTTAATTTTATTATTTAATTACAATTTATCATGAATTATTGTTTTGAATTAGATCCTTATTATTTTAATTTTTGATTTTTTTCTTTGACTCTTGTTTAAAAATTTTGTTGTTTTTAATCTCATCATCCAATCAAAGTTTATGTTATTTTTTTAATTTAATCCTTATTTTTTATTTATTTTTCCTTTTGTTAGGGTTTATTTTCTTTTCAATTTAACACTCCAATGTTAATTTTTTATGCCATCTAATTTATTTTTTATTTTGATTCACAGACTTTTAATACCCTCATTTTTTTAATTATATTTTTTTGTATTGTATATTTTTTTGTTCCTGTTTCATCTTGTAACGTTTGATTTATTGGGAATTGAGCTTTATGATTTTTTCAATTGTTGTGTTTCTGGTTTAATGACATGGATCATAAATTTTAAAAGTTGATATGGTTAGAGATTCTGTATTTTTCAGTTTTATCATTCTGTATTTTTTTAAAAAAATAATTTTGTAGTTATCTTTAATTTTTTTTCTATTAGTTTATCCAATACTTTTTTAATAGATTTTGTTTGAAAAAAATGTTTTGTATTGTATTTAATTTTTGCATGTTTTTTTTATGCCAATGATATTATTTATAAAAAAAATTATTATATTTAAATAATATTTCTAATATGTCTAACCTAGCATATTTTTTACTTTTATTTTATTCACTCAGTTTCTATGTGATTTTATTTCTATTACTTTTATTGATTTTAATAAAACAAATTTGGTTGGCATTAATGAATAAATATTTCATTTTATAAGATTAAATACCTTGGTGTATACCTATCTTTCACTTTTTTCAATTTATCTTTTATATGTTGTTAATATTTTTTTTTGTTTATTTACATTGATGATA